CTGGCCTCGTGCACATGTGACCCAGGTTCAATCCCTGCACCACCTAAGGTCCCCATGTCTTATTAAGAGTGATCTCTGAGCACAGAACCAGGAGTAAGCCCTGAGCACCACCAGGTGTGATCCCAAGTCCAAAAACTCAGAACAAAACAAAAAAACTTTCAAAGATACAATTGAATATATCGGTCTATTCAGAACTACACCATAAAGATTGTAGTTAGGGAAGGGTTGACAAGATAGTACAACAGGTGATGCTGAGAAGTCACTCAGCATGGAGAGCACAGGTTGATTCCTGGCTCTGCATATGATCCCCCAAGCCCCATCAGAAGTGATGCCTGAGCACCACCAGTTGTGGCCCCCAAACTAAGCCCTCCCCCACCCCAAACAACAACATTTATTTTCTAGCTTATTCCTTGGCATTAATAATGCCAGTTTGGAGAGGACTGAACATGTTTCTCTCTGGAAATACTCCTTACAGGGGGCCAGAGACAGCTCAGTGGTGGAGAAGCTGCCTTGCACATTGTGGGGCTGTGAGCTCAAGCTCCCCACAGCAAAAGTGTGACCCGGGCACAGCAGTACCTTTGGGGGTCCTCAGAGCCACAGTCCAGCATGCAAGTTCCAGGGCACGACAGCCTAGTTTGCAGCCCCGGGTAAGCTCTGCAGCCTAAGGGAGCAAGCATACAGCTAAAGGCTGCAGCCCGAGACAATGGGCATGCACACAGCCGAGAGTGCGCAGTCCCTTACTGCAAGCACTACTCAAAGGAAAACTGCAGGGAGGGAATGAAATGAAAATAAACAGAGGGATCAGGGAGATAGCTCAGGGGTCAGGAACACATGCCCAGCATGCCCAAGGCCCTGAGTTTGATCCTTGGTACCACTGCTATAGTTCTAGAGGTCCCCCAGCACTTTCTTCCCCAAAAGAAAGAATATCCCTTATCTTCCAGAGCCTCAACCCTTTACCCCTGAGGATACCAGTGTGAATGCTGCTAGACTCCTAGCCTTATAGGGGCAGGAAGAGCTCTTGGAAGAGAAGAATGCTCTGAAGTTCTCTTGTGGGTTTTTTGACGTTGTTCGGTCAAAAAAATGTAAAACAGAATTAGAAAACTTGGATTCTAATCCTGATTCTGATTTCTTGATTTTCCTTCCCTTCCCTGGGTCTTGGTTTCCCCACTTGTCAAATAAACACATTGGTCTTTCTGACAGCTATGATGCCTCCTGGCTCCAATATGCGAAGGGAGACAGGACTCCGCATTGAGGTCTAAGGGCTAAGTCCGATAAATCTAGGGCAAGAAAGAATAGGAGTCTTTCAGCTGCTCAGCCCAAGTAAACAAGACAGGCTAAAAGGCAGAGCCCAGCGGCCTGGAGATCCCACCTGGGGCTCAGGAGACAGAGAGAGATATGGAGGATCACTTGAGACCCCCGAAGCCTATTTCTGGCCTGGGAGATGCAGGGCAGGCTGGCCTGACACAGGAAAGTCCAACAAGTGATCTATTCCTTGGGGAACCAGAGGTCCCAGGAGGGGCAGCTGCTACACCAAGGGCTCAGAAAATAATAATAATAATGGTCACGGTCCTCCCGTTGTTTATCGATTTGTTCGAGCGGGCCCAGTAACATCTCCATTGGAGACTTTTGTTGTTACTGTGTCTGGCATATCGAATACTCTCGGTAGCTTGCCGGGCTCTCCGAGAGGGGCGGAGGAATCGAACTCGGGTCGGCCATGTTGGCTGCATGCAAGGCAAACACCCTACCCGCCGTGCTATTGCTACGGCCCAATAATAATAATAATAATAATAATAATAATAATAATAAAGCAATGCCAGGTTAAGTTGAACTAACTTGGGCAGGTTGGAAAGAGCAAGAATCAATGAAGATGCGGGTGATGCTGAGAAGTTACTCAGCATGGAGGGTCTGTAGACCTAGGCGTGGCTGGACCTCCAGGGTGGATGCTGAAAAACCTACCGTGGAAGGGCTGGGTTTAGTTCGAATTCTGCTATGGACCTGCTGGGTGCCCTCAGGCAAATCTGCTTCCCTCTCTGAAGTTGTCAAAGGAGAGAGATGTTCCCTCCACCCAAATAACAAATTTTCCAGAGTCATCTCCAAGCAGAGGGAGTCTTCCGTTTCTTTTTTTTTTTTTTCCAAGAGTTCTCTGGGCTTGCTCCTGACTCTGCACTCAGAGATTACTCCCAGGGGTGGTGGGGGTGGGGGGGGGCGAGCAGAGGGGAGGGGATGTGGGAGGGAGTGCATAATAGTGCCAGGGATCAAACTAAGGTGGGCAATGGACAAGGCTAGTGCCTTAACCCCTATCTAGCTCTCTGACCCCAGGGGGAGGCTTCTAGCCGGGAGAAGGGGGTCTGTCTGCTGAAGGAACACTTCCCAAGTTCAGAGCAGACACAATAGAAGCGAAAGCGAAAGCCAGTGGTCAGAGCTGACCCTTCTGCTTGTCCCAGCCAGATGTTATCTGAGCTTGTGAACTTTCCTGGGTTTTGAGAAAACTCTTTCTAGTCCCTTACATTTCACCATAACTTGCAGCTGGAGGAAGAAACGCTAAAAGCCAAAGTTCTTCAACAACCCAGCCTCTCTGGGCTCGTGGGGGGGGGCATTTCCAGTCCCACTGGGGGAGGGAAGAGTCTTGAGTGCTCTGGGGACCCTTAAGGCAGGAGCCCCCAAAGGGGAAGGATGCCCAGAGCAAGCATTAGCAGGAGCAGGGCTGCAGGCTTGCCTCCAGCTTTGCTCTTCCTCATCCTGAGAAACTACGAGAACAAATGACTTTTAGAACCAGAGAGCCAGAGTTGGGAAGATCCTGGGCCCTGCCAAGGGCTGGTAGGCACCTCCTCTCTTTGCTGACTTACGCTTCTCGCCAAGTCCGCTCACCCCACTCTAGGTCAGTGGGCACATGTTACGACAACATGTTAATCTCTGCCCCCATCCCCAGTGCCCCTACGGGAGTCCAATCCAGCCCCCTTTCCATTCCCACCACCCCACCAAGCACAGGCCGGCTCCTCTCTCCTTCCCAAACTCTGTCTAACTTTCATGCTGCCAGAATTATCTTCCAAGAGGTGACAATAGGATCCCCTGCTGGAAGAGCTAGCTTGGACCTTGGGACTCTGTGTTTGGTTCCCTGTGGATACTGAACATGTAGGACGGGCCTGGTCAGAGGCAGGACTCGAACAAGATGTCCTATCTGCAGAGACCTTCCCCGGGGGAACCATCCTGACCAGGGCATCCCCTGCCCTTCCTCCTACCCCCCCTCCACTCCCTGAGTCCCCCCAACCCTAGCACTCCTTAGGCACAGCCGGCACACCTCCACACCCCTCAGCCTGTGCTGGGTCATCTGTCCACCCCAATGGGAAATCCAATTCACACCTATTTTTAAATCTTAATTTGGGTGTGGGTGTGGGGGGCTTGGGTCACACCCAGCAGTACTCAAGGGATCATATCTAATGTGGAGAATCTAATTGGAGTGGGTCTTAGGCAAGGCGCATGCCTTAACCCCCTGGCTATCTCTCCAGCCGGATTCCCTGTTGAACACTCCAGCATTCTTTTCTTCAACACACCTTAGGCATGCCTCATTCTGGATTCTGTCCTTCCTTCAGCTCTCCCATACCTAGTACTAGAGAGTGCTTGCTCTGTGTTAGCCACGAGTGCCCACTTCAACCTAGGAGGTAATCACTCCCAGTTTATAAAGGAAAAACACACACGGTGCAGACCCCCAAGACAGTGGTCCTAGGCCCCTATCTGCCTAAGACCACTCAGCCAGCCAGATCTGAGTGCTCCTTCATGCTTATCATTTATTTCCCTCTCTCTCTAGCTCTGCTGGGAGCCTCCAGGGAGCTGCTGGGGCGCTATACATCCCTTGCCCACCGGTCTCCTCCCTCTCTCTCTCCTATCTTTACTCCCAACCCTAGGCTGACCTAGGCAAACAACATAATCGGAGGCAAAAGGCGAACCCTTCCCATAGCGTTTGGCTCTCTTCACTCAGCTCTCGGTTCCCGGGCGACAGATCTCATGCCGTTCACAAGTCCCAAACCCTATCTTTCACTGGAGAACCGATCTTCAAGTTACTCATGCAAAAACCAAGTCTGAGGCCCGCCCAGCCTCCAGCTCAGTTTCCTCCGGGGGGCCTCCGGGCTAGGTGTGCGCGGCCCCGCCCCGGGACACGCCCCCGGGGCCCGCCCCCCACTCCCAGCTCCCGGCTCGCTGGCGTCTGTGTTCCCCCAGGTCCATTCGGAACGACCCCTATGACGCCCGGCCCACGGGCTCAACCGATTACAGCCCCGGTGCCCCGTGGCTCCTAGTGGCCTGGGAGGGCCCGGCGCACGGCCCGGGGAGCTGCGCGCCCCACGGCGTTAGGAAAGGGACCCTTCTGCCAGGGACCATTCCCCCCTTCATCTGACTTAACCTGGCTCCCGGCAGGACCCACACGCGAGGGCCGGGCTGGATCCTGAGTCTTTCGGACCTCACTCGGAGATATTAAACGTTTCCCTTGGGCAGGGAGAAAAATCCAGGTTCACGCCACCCGGTGCGCGCCGGAGTCCCCCTTGGCTCTGGGCTACTTGCACGTAGCGCGCACGGAACACGAATTTAAATTCCTGAAAAGCCTCGGTTTCCAGCAAGGGCTGCGGGATGGGAGAAGGGCTGACCAAGAGGGTAGCACCGGGCGTGCTTTCCTGGGACCTTTGGGAGGCTAGTTCTGAAAGCACCGGTTGGAGGAGTGCTGGGTTATTTGGCCCAGGGTTCGAAGCCCGGCAACAGGGGGTGGGGGCCTCGGGGCCGGCTTCCTTCCTCGCGCCGCGGCCAGGTGGCCGCCCGGGAAGGCGCGAGTGTCCAGCTGCGGCCCGGCGCGGCTCCCGAGGGTGAAGGCACCGGGTGTGCACGGAGCAGACCCCTTTGGAAGGAAGCTCCGAGACTCCCTCACGACACGCAGATCCAGACGGCCGGCGAGTGCCCTCCCCGGCCCCGCCAGAGCGCGCGGCTGCGGGGTAGGCGCGGCGGTGCAAACTCACCCGGGCGGCGGAGGGTCCAGTTCGGGCTCGGTCCGGCGTCCGAGGACTGGGGTTGCTCCGGGCCCCCAGGGCCCCTCTGGCTACCTCCTCCGAGGCACCACGATCCCCGGAGCCGCAGGGTTCCCGGGAGCGAGGCGATCGCGGGAGGCGCTGGCGGAGAGGGCGCGCCGCCCTCTCGGGGACGGGGATGGGGACGCAGGAAGCTCGGGCAGGGAGCGCCGGCGTGCGGGAGGGAGGGACGGCGAGAGGCCGAGGGCGGCGCCCGCCACGCCGGCCTCCAGTTCCTACAGCACCGCCCCCTACGAGACGCACTGCCCGGGGGGAGGGGGGTACACCCACGCTCGCGCAGGCTCCGGGACAGCAGGGCTGGGGCGACCGAGAAGGAACGGGGCAGGGAGAAGGAACGGGACCCCGACACCCCCCTGCCGAAGGGCAAAGAATTGGACGGGGGCCGAGGGTTGTGGTCGTGGTACTGGGAAGACCCTCCTGGGTCCCAGAGTCTGCGGACCTGTCGTCCACACCTTTACCTGGCCAAGCCTCAGTGTCTTTCTCCACCCGGACTGTGCGTTCCGGGCACGGAGAACCGCCTGCACCGCCCAGGGTTGGGGCCCAGCGAGGTGATTGATGGGCGGAGGTAGGAAAGGAGGAAGCGAGGTTTTAAAAAGCGAGTCAGCTCATGCCCTGGATTCAGCTCCCCACCCACGACCTGGTTCCATGGGCGACTTCGGCAAGGCACACTGGGGCCTGGGCCAGGAGGTCGCCCACCGGGCGCACCTGGAACATGACTGGGGTGGGGGAACCTCGCTTGCTTGGGGCCCAGTTTTGCGGAGAAGTTTACCCCATGGAGCTCTTGCGGCCATGAGGTCGCAAGCGGGAGGTTCCTCTCACTCGGAGGCGCCCTAGCTGCAGCGAGCTGCAGTGGGGCGCTGGCTCCAGGCTACCTGCGGCCCTACCTCTACCCTACCTGGAGGTTTGCCCTAGAACGGTGCCCAACGAACGAGGAGTGTCTGGTCTCAGTCAGACTCCTTTGGTAGTTGGGATTCTACACGTGCAGGGAGAAGGGATCCACCTTCTCTCCCCAACATAGGTTGTTTTGAGTTCTAAGGAAGGTCAGGCCCAAGGTCCCCTTCTCAGGTGACTGTCCAGCCCTTTGAAGTTCAAACCCTAAGAAAAGCAGTGGGCCAGCTGTCAGCAAAATGCACTGAAGACAGAAGGCACGGGAAATTAGATACCCTGGTGGGAACTGCCTTCAAGTTTACTTGGAAACTGCGCCTCCTGGGGTCCACATGGTCCCTACCTGTGCATACTGAGTGGACACAGGCTGGTACTCGGGCCAAAGTTGCTTTCTGACTTGCTCTGTCATAGTCCAGTAGGAACTTGGTGCTGGCAAAAAGACAGATATTAGGGTCGCTTGTGGATTTAAGGTTGAGAAGAGATAAGGGAGACAGCAATGAGTCTCCAGGGGTAGAACATTATCTACTATGCCTCAGCCCCTTTCCAAACTACTGCATCCTCAGAAGAACCCTGGAGACAGTTACAGCTGACATGCAGCTCACAGGAGAGCAGGCTGAGATGGAGGTGCCCTCACTTGCCAGAGATTACACACCCGGAAAGGGGAAGGCTGTGAAACGAGCCAAGCAGATGCGAGCCGGTCAGGGACTGAGCCTGTGTCCTCTGTGCTTGTCCGTCTGTCTGCACGTGCTCTTGACCCCAGACAGCTTCCCCTGCTTCTCTCCAGTCCATCGGTCAGGAAGTGACCTTTATCCCACTCTCAGTGCAGTGATGTCATTCTTCATAAATCTGCCTGCTGTTCTCCTGCAGGCTGAACTCAGTGCCCTGCCCCTTTGTCTGACCTCCCCTGCAAGTGCTTAAAAAAAAAGTATGTTGAGTGGATGAAAGACCCCAAGAAGAACAATTGAGTGCATTTTTCTTCAACAGGGGGCTATGTGGCCCTCATGAGAAATCCAAGGTGTGTGTGTGTGGGGGGAGGGGGGTCATAGGTGAAAGTTGCATAAATGAGGCTGGTCACATGGCATGAGAATAAGGGGGGGCAACAGGTAGAATGTGGGGAGGGGCACAGGAAAACAAGGCAAGAAGGGGGGCCATGGGGCCACGGTGGGTAAGAAGTAGAGAAACCTGGTTCAGCGGCCCCGGAGAGCCTTCCATAGCGGGTGCCTGTAACAACGAACTGCGGAAAGAGAGCTGTGGGCTTTGTTGTGAAGCTTGATCAACGAACCTGGGAACCTGCCAGGCTCCAGAGAAGTGATGGGAAGCAGTCACCTAACCTCAGATAAGACCAGGAATCTGGTTTTCATTTCACTTGGGAGAGACGGGGACTGGGGATGATCATTGCAGATCGCTGTCCCAGTGCCGACCAGGAGTCAGCGCCTCAGTATTTTTCCATGCCAGGAACCGACGCCAGCCCCACCCCACCATGCTGCCAACCTAGACAGGTCCCGTCTATCTCAGAAAATCATCTCCAGAGTGTTCCTTAGGGAAGGGGGGAGAGGCTGGGGGGGGGGGAGGGGGGAGGCCTACCCTGAATGAGAGGGAGACACGCTCAATCAAAGCCTAGCCACAGGCGTAACAGAGACCACGGAAGCGTTTCTGCCCCCCCCACCCCCGTCCTGCTCCAGCTCCCATTAGCACCCTTGTTCTCCACGCAGTTGGTTCTCTGGACCTCTCCAGCTTTTCCAGGTTGCATCCAGAAGAAGCCTGACTTAGTTTAACCACGAACACATTCCACAGTGTCCTTGGACAAGGACCCGAGACATGTCTTTGAGGAAAGAGCCAAATAACTAGATTTGGAGTTTTGTTTATGGGCCACACCCGGCTGTACTCAGGGGTTACTCCTGCCTCTGTGCTCAGGATCACTCTTGGCAGTGCTCGGGGGACCATAGGTGGTGGCAGAGATTGAACTGTGGTCAGTTGCATGCAAAGCCAAGTATCTTAATCTCTGTCCTCTCTCTCTCTGGATCCAAGAATTAGATTTTGAATGGTGGCAGTTCAGTCACTGGTCAAGACTCTAGATAGTTAACATTCACTGAAGCCCTTGTTTCAAGGTTCTGCATTCACTGTGTTATCTGAGCCTCCCAATGACCTGCAGGGAAATGTCAATGATTCTAGTTTTTCAAGGGAGGCAAACTAAAACACAGAGAAGTCGGTACCTGGATCTACTAGCAAGTGGTGACGCCAGAATTTGAATTGAGGTATAGTCCTAGTCCTGGTCTTAATCACGATGCCAGGCACCCCAGGTATGAGGCAGAGAATAGTGTCTGGCCCCTAATGATTTCCTTCTAACCCCCAAGACCTGTGACTGTCTTACTTTATCCAACAACAACAACAAAAAAGGACTTTGTAGAGATGATTAAATTCAGGAGCTAGAGATGAGGAGATGATGGTGAATTATCCTGGTAGGACCCAGGAGAGAGGTGACAAGGCCTCTTAGAATAGGGAGATGGGGGGGTTAGAGAGTTGTTGATGGAGGTTGAGGCTGGGGTGGGTGGCATGATTGATGGAAGAGCCAACAGCTGTTGGCAGCCTCTGGAAGGCAAAAAAGGCTGGGAATGTGTGCTCCCCTGATTGGACAGAGGGGCACAGCTCTGATGACAGCTTGGTTTTAGTCCAGTGAGAACAATTTTGCACTTCTGGTCTCCTGGACTATAGGGTAGTACAGTTGTTCTCAGTAGGGTTGTTCTCAGCCAGGAAGTTTATGGTCATTTGTTACATTAGCAAGAGAAATTCTGTTGTTACCATGGTGTCCTGATTAAAGCTTCCCGTGATCTCTTTCTGCCTTTCTGCCCACTGTGCACCATCAAGCTGGTCTCAGAAGCATCACGCTTATGGCTGTGTCCTGGATTTATTAGAAAGAAGGCAAAATTTCATCTGCTCTGCCTTTGCTGAGTTCTCAGCTGCTTTTGAGCAGTAATACCTTGGATAGATGTTTCCTCCTCCCAGACCCTCAGTTTCCTCATCTGTAAAATGGCAGTGCTATCTACTGTGGAGGATCGATATGAAAAAGAGGTGAAACAGAATGTGACAAAGTCCCATGAAATTGTCCAGTGTGCTATGAATATGAGTTGGGCGCTGGTCTACCCAACCCTGAGAGTCTAAGAGGAGATGGTGCTGTTCTCAGCATTTCCCTGGCACACATTTCTGTTTGTTCTGGCAGAGACGACAAGTAAATAATTGAAAATATTAGATGGTGTCTGGGCAGTGACTAGAGCTCAATCAGTCATGGAGTGAAGTTGGCAAGAGCTGTGGTAGGATTCTATCAGCAAACAAGCAGAGAAACACACACAGACCTGAACACCTGCTTTCCAGAAGTTTCCTTGCTAATTATTTACTAGAAAAAAAAAATTGTGACCATCCTAAACATCACCCAAGGAGATAGGCTAACTAAATTATGGGTGGGTTGAGCCCATGGTGTCATCATGCAGTCATAAAGAAGAAGGTGGTTGAGTTCTCTGAAAGGGAAGAAAATTTAAGATGTATCACTTGAAGAGAAGAACAAGAAATGAAGCATTGTGATGTAACACTGCTGCTGTCTTTAAAATACATAAGTACGTGGATATTCGATTATGCATAGAAAGAGTACTGGAAGAAACTAACCAAACTGTGGCTACTCTTAGACATTTAGAAGAGGTTTGCATGTATGTGTGAAAGGAAGAATTTTTCTTTTTTTATGAGATTGTCTTAAATAAGGGGGACTGGGGAAATAGTTTAGGAAGTAAGGCACTTGCCTTATGTGTAGCCAACCCCAGTTCAATCCCTGACACTACATGTGGTCCCCTAAGCACAACCAGGGCCACTCCAGGACAGTTAGGAATAGCCCCTGAGCACTTCCGGGTATGATTAGAAAATAAAAGAAATGTAATAAATTAATAATAAAACAGAATAGCGAAGGCCAGGAACCATCTTTATTGTCCTCCAGCAGCACGCTTACACTTGTCTGCTCCCACAGACCCCTTCCTTACTGTGGGCTTCCCCCATTTCCCTTTCCCCTTGCAGGTTCTGAGGAGGTGAGCCCCTTTCCCCGCTTACTTTTTAGGCTCAGTTCTAAGCCCTTGGGGGGCTGAGCAATGTCTCCACTCTGTGACTCTTGCCGAAGTCAGCAGTAAATCACATATGTGCACATATTTACGACCTGGTCTTTTTCCAGAAAGTTCCCATTAGTCACCAGGAAGGGATGTGCTGTGCAT